ATCTATCATTTTTTGCGATTATTATAAATTTCAAAAAGAAATGTGAAGAAGAACAGCACGCTACATGGCTTACTTGTCTGTACGAAACGATACCACGAGTCATAAAAAAGCAATGTTAATATGAATACTCTCATACGTCTAGCGCAATTCCTGCTTTCACAATTAATTATAATTTAATAATTTAATTAATTTTTTGTTTTCGTGCATTTTTCATTATACGATCTGTTAAAAATTAAACGTTATTTGGAACTATTTATCGATAATAAAAGAAACATGACGTGGTGGGAGAGCTCAGTACTCAAAGGATATTTACACGAAAAGAACGATTTTTCTCTATCTAAAAATTTTCGGATCTATCCGAATGATATTTCTAGATAAATTTTTAGATACTTGAGTAAATCGTTCTCTTCGTGTAAAAATCTAACGATGGGGAAGCTAACGAACTCTCGTCGCCGATTTACTTGAAAATGAACAAACCGCAGCCGGTTCGTCACGTCGCGCGTTTACATCGGGAGTGCCGTTTAAGTTATCGGACTCAAGTTATAGTCCGCGCGCGATTATAGTGTATTATTCGCGAGTGTTTTACGCGAGTGTCCTGTGCGAGAGGATGTCAACCCTATGCTGAGAGGAGGAGGAGGTCTGGGAGAGGCATCAGACACCGACGGAGCAACCTTGCGGTAAATATTATTTTTACTTATATAAAATTAACCTTTTTTGGCTTTTTAAATCAATTTACTCGACAGTGATTTAAAAATTAAAAACAGTGATTATTTTTAAATCATTGTTAAATGAAATGATTTGAATAATTATATATTCTATAATAATTCTATAAAATATTTCTATAAATAATTATGTATTCTCTAAAGTAATTATATATATTCTCTAAAATAATTATATACTTTTTTTAAAGATCTTAACAAATATAAATTTGTATAAAATATTAAAGTAATTTTTAAGTAACTCTCCTTTCATCTAAATTAGATAATATAATAAAGAATAGTATTTAAAAAGTTATTGCAATTTTATTAGCGAAATACAATAAAATAATTACACATAAAAATAAAAAAATAAATTAAATATAAATTAAACATACACTTAAATTAAACATATTGCAAAAACGAACTACTAAATTTATTAGTAACTGGTTTATTTTATGAGTGATACAAAGAAAAGAGGACCACCGATAAAATTGGCGGGGGTGGTGGAGGGCCTCTATATCTCGTTTTTTGCTAAATTATACCTTAAATGGACAATATATATTTAGAAGACATTGAATTTATTAAGTCTCTATAATTACTAGTAATTATAGAGACTTTGATACATACTAGTAATTATAGTCGGCACGCTTTTGTTCTGAGGATTTAGTACAGAGACGAACCACATCTACTATCGGCGATATGATTTTATCAATAGTGTCAGAAAATGTAGTCACGTAATTCCCAAAATGATGCATATACGGATTTCGATAACATGAAAAAGGTCGGCATGATCTCTTTTAGGTTTCTTTCTAGCATGAGTATGTTTTCAGTTTCTCAAACGGTATAAAATTAATAATAATAATAATAATACTTATAACAATAATAATAGTCTCAATAGTCTATTCGCTATTTTCTATCTCGGTGTAAGAATTATAACAATTATAATTATAATGTAACAATTGTAATTATTATTACTTTGTGGATTTTTAATTGAAAATAATATTATTATTACATTATTATAGTATTTTATAATTGTAATTCTTGCATTGTTTCTTCTCAATTAAAAATAGCGAATAGCCCTTCAAGGCTTGTGAATTCATACGAGTGAATCTCAACTGTCTCAACTTCTCTTTTCAAGAGCTTTCTTCTTTTGCTCATTTTAAAAATTAGAATATAGATTGAACAATACAATTGAAAGGTTTTAATGAAAATTGATAAAGATACATAGTTGATACAATGATTTTTATACGTCATATACATATATATTTCTTATGTGTAGAAAATTTTTTAAATAATATTTCTGTGTAATATAGATATATTTAATCAGAAAAACGTTAATATACAATGCATATCTTTTATATATAAAATCAAAATTAAATCTGCAAACCTAAGAACGCAGTCATAATTGCAAAATATATTACTTTTTATACTATATGCGTTCCTTGAATGTTTTGTCTATTATTCAATCGAATCTTTTCTTGGCGTTTCTTTTCCTCTTTAAACGCTTCAGTGTTTGCCTTTCGTTCTATCCTTCTTTCCTAAAATTAAATAAATTTCAGAAATTATGTTATATAAAATTTAACTAACCCATCCACAGTAAATGTTTAATAAAATTACTTTTCTGTATTCTTTGAGCAGCTTTTTTCTTTCTTTTCTTCCGTCAGGATTTTCCCCTTTGGGTCTTATACTGAGAATGCTTAAGGTAGATTTCCTACTTTCCGCTATGGATTGTGGGCCTTTTGGCGCATTATTTTCCATATCAAATTGGGCCAAAGTTTCAGCTGTTAATTTTCCAGTATTGCCTAACACATTTTTCGGAATACCAGATTTCCGATCTATTTCAATTTTCTTTGATCGCTATTAAAAAGAAACAAAAAAAAAACATAAAATCAATAAGTGTAATATCAACAAAAAAAATGTTTCATATATAATTATATGACATATTTTATATATACTTATATATAATTTATATATAATTATATAACATTTTTTCGCGGAAAAACTAATATATAATTTATTAATATATTATATAATTATACATATATTTATATTTATATTTATTACTAGAATGAATAAATTTTTTAATAATATTGGTTAATAATTTACCTTAGGAGGTTCTGATATTAATTTAGGGTGATTATAAATGTTACTGTACGTGCTAAGAATACTTTCACAGTCCCATTTATCCTTTCCACGAGTAGTGACAAGAAGTTTTTCAAAATGTTCATCTTCTGAACTCGAATATTCTGGTTCCACAATCTTCATTCTGTCTTTCATAAGTTCCGCAATATTTTCCATCTACAAATGTTAGGGAAAATAGGACATTTTTCATTATACTTTTACGTAATACTTACGGTTTCTCTTTGCTTTTTTTCAAATTCTGCAGCATATTGCATAACAAGATCCGAGTCATGAGTGATATATCCTTCTATTTCGTCGCAGTCTAAAGCACCAATTTCATTTTCATCATATCCAGCATACATCTGTACAATAAACAAGAAAAGATAAGAACATACATTCATGCTTGAAAAAATAAATCTATAATATAAACCTTTTCAAATCTGTCATCCAACAATGCAAGTTGGTCGTTTCTTCTCATCACGCTACTACTCATAGAATATTCTGTAAACCTTGATTTCGTTTCTTCATCCTTAAAAGTATATTGAGGTCCATTCAAACTACATACTTCATCTGCCTCCTCGTTGGATAAATCCATGTGACCATCAGATGAGACATCTGATTCACTATATTCATTTTCTGGTTCATTTAATTCATATTCTAAAGTATAAAATTACAATAAGATTAAGTGAATGTGTATGATATTATTATATATAATAGTTTAATAAATTTACCATATTCTCTGTCAGAATCCTCACTGTCGCTATTTTCAGCATTAGCTAATTCTATGAAATTATCTTCTAACTGATTTTCTGGATCATTAAAATCAAAATCATCATCCATTGCAGCGACTATATCCGGGTCTAAATCTAATCGTGGCCCAGAAACTGGTGCTGCTTTATTAAGCATACCAACTTTTTCCTCGACATTTGACGCAAATACTGAAGATGGCAAGTTAATTTTTGGAGCACTCTTGTCGCATTTAGAATTATTTGTGTTCTCAACGCGTTCCCATTCCACTGATAATGTATTGACATCTTTAAGATGTTGTAAATAATCATAGTCATCATCAAAGTAAATCCCATATTTATGCTGCTCCTTTTTGCGTATTTCATTGTCTAATGATTTCTTCTCTGTTTTTGCCGCTTGTGTATCGGCAGCTGGAACTAGAACTCTTTGTGGTGCTGTTTCATCTGCCACTAATGGATCTTTTTGTGAACGATGAACTAAGTGGAATGTAACAGAATTCTTCTTGTCGATAAACTTTTTCGTTTTTCCCTTTGGCTGCAATTATATTATTATTTTAGAGATGTGAAATAACTATTAAGCTATTAATACTGTAGAAAAATAAGTGAGTGACGCATAGCTAAATATGAATGTGGTCAATTATTACTGAGGTTCGATTCACATTCACAATGTTTTGGAAATCATTTCATCCATGTTATCAAATGTTAAATAAAGATAAATAATGCTCACAAGCGTTGTGAGTGTAAATCAATCATAGCCTGGTAGTCAGCAGGTAGAGCAGCATGCTTTGATGAAAGATTGAGGTTAAGTTTAGAAATTATGAATTATAACATTAAAAAATTTCGTATACCAGAGATTAAAGAAAGAGAATTTCTGATTAATAGTTCAAAAACATTGTGTGCTATATAATTCTCAGGGCGAATTGAAGGGCCGGTGGAGATTAAAAAAATATATATATATGTAGCAATAAGTATTTTTGTAAATACGTATTAAAAACTTACCATCTTGATTTGTCTTGCTCAACTAATCGTATATACAAAAACTAGTACAACAAAAGTAATTGTCCTAATATAATGTATTTATCCGAATTAAGCACTGACACGTCAATTTATTTAAACTTTAAACATACAAAATGTAAGTAAAACATGTGCTGCGCTTTCGGAGTCAAACATGATAGATGAAATCCCCCAGACTGGTAACAATGCTTTAAAAAAAAATTTCTAGCAATTAGATATGTTTGTTTAGTTATGTTTTCGTATTTTAGAAATAAAGGAATTCATGACGTTAAATGTTTAAATGATCTAATTAATAAAAAAATTATCTTTTGTGTTCAATTAAAAACACATCAGTGATTCTCAACTCAAACGTAAAGTTTGGCGTTAATTCCCAATGGGAATTTTTGTTTGCAAGCAAAACATTGGAAGGGATTGTTCTAGCTCTACTCTAGTCCGCAAATAACGTAAATGGCAGAAGAGGGTGGGGGTGATTATTGATGTCCAATAAATGTGAGGAAACTTACAACGCCAAGAGAAAATGGGGTTATTCGATCGTTTAGCGAACCTTTTAGGTCTTAGGAAAAAAGAAGTAAACGTTTTAGTAGTGGGCCTTAACAATAGTGGTAAGTCAACGGTCATAAATAATTTCAAACGCGAGGATGACCGTTGCATAGACATAGTGCCCACTGTCGGGTTTAATGTCGAAAAATTCGCATGTAAGTTAAATAGCGAAAAGCGACATAATGTCAAAAATGTGAGATTCTGTTGCTTTCAACGCTATCTTCACGCGTCCACTATTGCACCTGCACAATCTTAAAATCACAGCATTGTCCATTTATTTTACAATAAGATATAGAATGGAAGATGACGCTATACAAAATTGTTAATAAAATGTATAAATATTTATGAAATGATATTTGAGATGTAAAGAAATTAAATTTATTTTTTTTTACAATTGACATATTTCGATATTTTTAGTATATTTATATAGCTTAAATATTTATTTTATTTTTTAAACGTATATATTTATTTTTTATTTTTTTATACTTCTAGTAAGCATTGAATATGCCTTCAAAACCTTTGATGATTTAGGAGGCTTCATACTACTTCGTAATAATCGATCAACCTTTTCTGGCGTCTTCTTTTCTGGAGTCTTTTTTTCTGAACTCTTCTTTTCTGGAGTCTTCTTTTCTGAACTCTTCTTTTCTGGAATCTTTTTTTCTGAATTCTTTTTTTCTGGAGTTTTCTTTTCTGAAGTCCTCTTATTTCCTAATTCATCACTATCTTTAGAATGATCTAATAAATCTAAGGAATTCAATCTATTTGCTATTTTCTTTGTCGTATCTATACGTGTAATATCATTAATCTCCAGAGTGGGTGACAAGGGTATATTTCTGATTTTGCGATGTAGTGGTGTACTGGTGATTAATTTGGGGATCTTTGACCGTTCGCTGTCTGGTTTATTACCCAGTTTTGATTCAGACGAAGATATTTGATTTGCATTAGAAGTCGTAGCCGCTTGAGTTTGGAAATTTAATTTCGTCTGTTTTAATTTAACCTTAGATTTGTGGAATGGCGTTATTTCTATTGGATTTTTATTAATTTTCTTTTGTTTTAAAACAGAAGTAGTCTTCTCTGTTTTCTTTTTCTTTATCAAAATTTGCTGTGGACTTTTGGTGCGCCTTTTTTTTGCATTTAGATGATTAGTTTCTTGATTGTCTTCTAAACTATCTTTTGGTAATGTAGTATTTTCAGTAGTTTTTTGTCTTATTCTTTTACTCCACTTTTTCTTCAGTTCACGTTTCTTCCGCGATTTTCTCAATGAACTGGTTCGTTCTGATTGTAGCTGAGTTATGAAGTTCTCATCGGAGCTGCTAGTATCCTAAAAATAAAATTATGAAAATATTTCTTAATCATGAACCAAAATCCTTTAAATACTTTTATATCTAAATGCCATACATTCAGTTCTAATAGACTTTCAGTGTCGTCTTCCTGCATCCATGTAAATATAGAATTATCCTCTGATAGAATCTCATCAAAAGCAGTTTGCAGGTCTGTCATTTTAAATTTCTTAAAATATGTCTTTAATCTCTGTTTGATATCATTGTTTAATTTGTTTCCGTTTATTGTATCAATCTGAACTTTATAAGGTCTTGCAGTGTCTTGATGATATAGCAAATGTATTATTAAGTTCATATAGTTATTATTTTCACTATTGTGTACACCATACAATTCCAAGCTGATTTGTTTAAATCCCATATCAGATTGCAAAGTACAATGCCTTATACTTGACATATGTTCCTAAAAAAAAACATGATTTATTTGTATTATAGCTCAAAAATAATTTATTCTACATATATATAATCATTCATAGGTGAAAATATACCTTTAGTGATAGGAATTGTTCTTGCCGTGAAGTGTAACAATCAACATTATGCTTGCAGTTCTTTATAAAGGCAGTTAATTTTTTTAATTTATCAATAGGCGTTTTGGATAATATATTCTTTATGTCGATTGACACTGGCATTATCCATTTTCCCAGTTTGGCCTTTCCATCCTGAACAAAAATCTGTACTGCTTGAGTATTGTCTGTCTGTTTTTCATTTGTTGACGTAAAATTAAATACAGATTCATTCTTCCGAAATTTAACGCAACGAAAACCAGCGAATCTATACAGATCGTTCTTCAGAGCAACCTTGACATTCAATAATTTACTAAATGTCAAGAAAGTCTCGAAGTTTTGCAAGGATCTTTTGGTCACATGATCCTCTATGTCTTTAAAGCGCGTTTGCAGATTCCGTTCATGTTGCTTGATGATGTTTCTCAGTTCCTTTATTTCTTGGCGCAGTTTCGTCTTTTCTGTAGCTGTCCCATCTAAAAGTCAGAAATAGATTAACTTAACTTTCTCCGCTTTAGTGAGGTTAGGATCCTTGATATGTAGTTCACGTACCTTTATTTGCCGACTCGATATTCTCATTATCGTTATTCGAACTGCTCGCGGAACTTTGCGTTTCCATTTTCGTTCCTAGGAATCGTTATATCACTTGCAACAGAAACACAATCAAACGAATTGGCGCCAAAATTATTCATAGTTTTCAATTATTTTCATATCTCGACTGCTCTACTTCCCTTTTTAGATGGCGCATTGGTGTTTCTGCTATTCTTAGGGCGAGTTTCACCAAACTCTAATGCAATTGGTGCAGATTAAAGATGACTTCGATCAAATTTCGGTTAATAATTAAAAGATGATTAATTTTTATCCATGCTATTGTATATAAAATATTACAGACATCTATCAATTTCTATGGATTTTTTTATAAAAATTAATTCTTTTTTTAAAAGTTCAATATTTTTTTATTTATTTATACAGACATAAATAAGTTAAAAGTCAAGCTAATCAATTCCATAAATAATAAGGAGATACAAAATTGATGAAGTTTAAATCAATCATGTTTCCTGTATTAAAGTTAAAAAATTTATAAAAACTGAAGTTATATAATTTCTGATGCCTGTTTCCGCCAATGTAGATTACATTTAATCTCGATTCAACTTCCCAGCAAACGAGAATGGATTGAATTAGATTGAAATGGATTCAGATTTTCAGAAATATTGATTCACAAATGTTACAATGAATGCTTTTCAATCCTGAATTTTTATTTATTTATATGAATTGCATGGAGCATATCTCTATGCCTTTCAATCTAAAAATAATATTAGCTTTTTCTGTGCATTGTGAATACTGTCCAATTCAAAATTTTGAATAGGAAATGCAGTTTTTCAATCTAATTGCATCCAATTAAATCTAATTGAATCCAATTGATCCTATTAAATCCCAAAAAAATATTCGCTATTTAAAATACGCATTCGGATAAAAAAAAATTTCAATCCATTTTAATCTAATCTCGTTTGCTGGGTTACTCTTCATTTTTTCTAATTCTTAAAACTAAAAAAAATGAAACATTCCAAATAATGCATGTTGGATAAGATATCTAAAAGATATTTTTTAGACATAAGATATCTACTAAAGAATCAAGATTAAAGTTAAATTATTAGTGGAAACAGACTTAACTGATAAGTAAACAAGATTTTAATAGATGTTACTCTGTAAAAACTCTGTTGGGAAAAGAAGATATAAATATTTTTCTTATCCAAACACGACATAAGAAATTGAACACAAAATTGTATAAATTGATACATATAATACAAATAATAATAAAATAATAATATATAGTCCGCGTCGTATACTATTAGGGCTTTGTTTTTACTTCATTGCGATTAAGCCGAAATTGTTTCAGTTAAAAATGTCAGTTTCACCGCGTTCGATATGTCGGGCCATGATCGTCATAGATCATTGTGGGAGCATTATTACAAAGATTGTCACGGGATCATCTTCATAATTGACAGCAGCGATAAACTGCGACTGGTTGTTGTGAAAGAAGAGCTGGACATGCTCTTGCAGCATCCCGATGTTGCAGGTACATTTCATAGTAGATGATAAAATTCGAATAGCAAGTACTCATTTAACACAGAAACACAAAATAGACAATCAGTTAGAAGATCTAGAATTTAGATTCTTTCGAATGTTCGTATTTCACAATTGACAATTTCTTAAGAGACTTGAAAGCAGAAGTTTTTCAGCAGAAACTTTTCAGGACGCAAGATACCCATTCTCTTTCTGGCGAACAAGATGGACCTGCCCGATTCTTTGACCACCGTAAAATTAGTCGCTGGACTTGGACTCGAACGAATACAAAATAAACCCTGGCACATACGGGCAACGAATGCATTAACTGGCGAGGGCCTGCAGCCGGCGATCGAGTGGTTGACGGATCAAATTCGCGATATATACATCAACAAGAGATAAACTACGTTATACGATACGAGATGCGATTGATTCGATACTTCTCGGTGAAGAGTCTGTCGTATCATCAAATCGACTTAATCGATGTCTATAGCATATTAATGACGTCAATTATACCAGTGTTTTCCACATGGCGTTTCCCCGAGATGCAATCCAGCATCACGAAAACCAAATTATGATATAAAATTATCGTTATGAGAAAGAATTGTTTCGAAACAATCCTTTTGTTCTGAATCTGCGTAATTAGTATGAAAAAGCATACGATCAGATGATTCATAATATTATTTAGTCAAATTGTAAAGGTCTCATGACAATTGGAAAACATCGATCGTTACAAGCTCAGTGCAGTTTCGTCCAGAAAAATGTAAAAAGGCGTATGTTTGTACATACATACAATAATATGTATATGTTAAGAGTGGCTTATATGTAATGTAATTAATTAAGATACGCAATGATTAATTAAGATACTGCAATAATTTTTGACATGCTTTGACTAGATTAGTTTCATAAACAGTTTTACAATTAGTGAGCTTTGCAGAGATACTTTATTATGATATCCACAATAAATACTCATTAGAGAATTGCACAGTTCAGCACATTCATAGTTTATTACTTTACCTCTGTTTATATTAGGTGTTGGAATTAATTCGTAGCGTTTTTAATGAAAGAATGTTATTTATTTCACATGAGCATTAAAAAATACATTAATGAAAGTACTTCCCATCACTTGTAAAACGCTACGAATTAATTCCAACACCTAATATCTTTTTTGTATGTCACTGTGAAAAATAATTAACTATGATTGGTTAATTTCTTTTCGGTTTTGTGTGGTCTATTACAAATATTCGGTCTACTCCAAAGTATTTAATTGACCAATTAAAAGAATTTCATTAATTAGCTAATTAAAAAACATTTGCTTTAAAACATTTGGACAAATTAAACAAAGTTGGACAAGTTACTTCCATGTTTGTGGACGTATCCTAATCTACACTGTAAATTAATTATCCACATAATTGAAATTATATTTGTACTTTACTGTTACTCGATTTATAGTAAGTCCAATCATAAAACTATCCAATTAGCACACAATATTTAAAAAATATTTTTTAAATATTTATTAAATATTTTTACGTTAAGTAAATATTTAAAAAACGTTTTAAAAACATTGTCTGTGTGTGTGTGTGTGCTGCGGATAAATTTAATTAGCATTTATACGTTAAATTATTTTATATTATATGTAAAGAATTTGATTTGGCTGATCAGTTTACATATACCGACACAGGACTATCGCAGAACAGACTTGCAAAGCGTTCTACGTGTGTGCGCCAATTTGAATTAACAATATTTTTCCCAAAGTTCTCTTTCTTCGCATCTTTCGTACGTAAATTTTCACATTTCTTTAAATTATTAAAAAAAAAAATTGATTAAATTGTCGTAGTTGTTCAAAAACGCAAAAAAAGTCTCCCGTCAATTCAAATCGTCAAATTATCGTTCAAATTTCAAATTATCTCGGTATTGCGCAGGCGCGTGGCCATATAGGTATCATTACAAATTACACTGCTATCCTAACATATAGTACTTAAAATTTACATTTGTTTACATTATGTAATGTAACCTACAAGATTCCTTTATCAGCAGCGCGTAATCGAATCCAATATATTTCAATAAAATTATTTAATATGTAACTGCACATGCTCTGACGCTCGCATGTAAAGGCACCTTGACTTCGGCCGCCATGACAGTTCGGCGGCTCATTTAGTTCGGACGGAGAAGATAGTTGCTCCGTGATTAATCGCGAATTTATCGGTTGGGAACGCATTATGGGCGCGAATTTATGTCGGGAGTGTCGATTAAAGTGATGAGTGTATGACTGCCGCGAGTTCGTCGTATATAATCGAGACCGTGTCAAGATATAAACATCGAAATGAGTGCGAGAAGGAAAGTGCTGATCCTTGTTTTGGGCGCGCAATACCGAGTCGTATGTTCTTTTTGGACAGTCGGGACACGATCGACGTTAGAGACGTGATGTGTCGAAGAAACGGATCGTTGTAAATATACGTTCAACGGAAATAATTTACGTCGCAAGACGAGTGTGATTCATTTGGACGTTGCAACGTTGGTCGCGTTTAGCTAACTCAACTGTTGCGGAGTGCTCGTTGTTATTCGTGTATTCTTCTAGAGCATCCAATAGCAGCAAGCGCTCACGGATTTGCTCCGCAACAGTTGAGTCTGGTACTCAATCATTGGCGTGAAATCGTTTTTCCTTCGATGACGCGCGAATTAAGTTTTGAAATTGTGTGTAGTGAAGCATCCGTATCCGATAGTCATTCTTTTCTGGAATTGATGTTGGCCTTTCTAAGGAGGAACTTGCGAGGAGATGACGTGAACTACAATATCTTAGCTAGTGAGCTATTAATTGATTATTTAGATTAGATTTACTTTTTGAATTAATATGTGTGTAATTGCGATTGCGATTACTTACAAAAAATTTATTGAAGTATTCGAAAATGTTTATTTTAAGAAATATTTTTACGCTTTATGTAAAATATTCGTTGAAATAATTAAATAAAAAAGATTAGATAATATATACTATAATAACATATTAATAATTGTAGAGATGGGGGGAATAAAGGCACAATTCTACTTAGGCCCTTTTTCCGGCGATTAGCTTTTTTATGTAATATTGATCGTAATAGAGAAGTAGTATTGTAACATGTAACTTCTTAAAGACATTATAAATTCATTTTATATTTTATATTCATTTGTGTATAATAAAAAAGTAGCAAGTTATTTTAATTTTTATTAATATCAAGATTTTGTAATTAGGCTTTTATTCCGCCCATCCCCTCAATTGACATATAAAGTAAATAAAATGTCGACGTATGAAATTCAAAATTAATTGGAATGTATTATTAATTTTTTCAGGTGCAGCTAAGAGCGTATTTAGCTAGGATACAACGCTGGTGAGTGAATTTATAAATTGAATTTCATTATATTTACACGTTAATATAAAACTGTGATGTCATCAATTTCATATGCTTTGGGTACAGTGAACGTGATGCTACATAAATGAGGAGCAGACTTTTAAAGTGCGTTTTGTCCAATTTTTGAAGTGCATTATGTTTTTTAACAAGAAACAAACAAAATATATTTGTTTAACATCTTTAACAATTGTTGAGCAATTTTGTTTAATAGTTTTTTCATCCTACTGGTTGACATATTACTATTTTCTTTAAAATACGTAGTTTTCTTGTATGTATATAGTTTCTTTCTCATTTTCTGAAAATTACAAATTTTGATTGGTTCATTAAATGCTTCAAAGCAATTGTAGTGAGACTTTTAGCTGTTCTCATTTGTTATCCAATTATTACAGGAACTTAAAAAAAATTCTATTAATTAAATTTATGATTAATTTAATTATTAGTAGCGTCATTTTATTAACAAAAATAAAATTAACTTATTATTTAATATACGGAAAAGAGATTAGACAACTTTTGCATAGGTCATTTATTGATATACATGTCTCGCAACTAGATTTTTTCAGAGACAGTTGCCACATTTATACATTATCGAAAATAAATATTATCTGTAAATGATATCACGAAAAAAGTGCGCTAAATACAATTATATCTATATCTTTTTATTTAACATACACAGTCTGAAGGCGTAGAGATTCCTGAGCATTGTATATGTACAGTTCAGAAAAGTTATTGAAAGAATAAGGACTTTGTAACATTTGAAAATAGTATCCTCATCACATACATATACATATATACATATATACTATGATTAACGAATCATAAACAGTTTTTTCTTTTTTATCAGTCGTGGAATTATTTGAATGTATCATATGAGAGTGATTCCCAAATTCTAAAATATTGCTATATTGATAAATTGGTTAAAATAAACAAGAATGTATATAGCATGTGCCACAACAATGCCTCCAATAATTTCTTCAAAATATTTTCAAACATCATGCATGTAATAATAAATAGTAATTGGAACTAAGTCTAAATTTAACGTTATCTTTTTATATCACATTTGCATAGCGTTTTAATATACATATATGCAATAATTTTAATCAGATGAAACATGATGAAATTTGAAATTAAGTTATATAAATTTAAAACTTTTTTATAGTTAAAAATATTGTAAAGTCCGACACAATAATTGATTTGCCAATAAGCAAGTTTATAATGGACAATTTTTAGGCTTTCTTTTATCACGAATTACGTATATTATTACATATAGTTAATCAGCAATTTGTAGAATAAATTATTACAATATAATAATTTGAACGATCATATGTCACATTTATAAAATTGACAAGAAGAGGTATTCTAAGATATAAATTGATATCGAGTCCTTAAAAAATTTACGTAAAGTAAGTACAATGTACCCTGATTACAGTTTTCACAAAATGTTTGTAATCACTTAAAAATATATAAAATTAATTTGGAATTAATTAATTGGATTAAAATTATTAATTTGAAATAATTTGTGCGTATGGATAAATGGTAGACATTCACTTTTGCTGAGATAACATTAGCTCCAAGTTATTTTAAAATTGAACAAATAATAACGATAGAATAAACTGAATAGGTAAAAGATACATTACAAATAATAATTAATAAACAAATAAGTTACTATAAAAGATCTACCATAAATTATATTAGGACGATTTGGTCCCCAAATATGGGCCCTATCTCATTAACGAATTAGATTTAAATGCATTCAAATACGTAATATGCAGAAACGTTTAGATTTTGTCTAATTCTCTATGATAATATAGAATCGATCTATTTATGCCAAATGACCCTCTTTAACATATTATAATTTAGATGCCTCTTTGTCAGGAATATTAATTAATTCTTGCTTCCAATAATATAAAGGAGGCCCTGCGGTGAAGCAATATTTCCGTTCAAGCGGAGTGCCTTCCTTGACATAATACATAATATACATATTACACATTTCATCTTCGTTCGTTCCACCTATAAACGTAGTTCTATCGCGTGTACTTTGCATTGTGCAACGAGCAGCTAATTTATCACCATACGTAATTGGAACTCTATTGGTAACAGGATAAAACATCTGAGGAGTCAGTGGATCTCTCTTTCCAAGTTCGATCCACTTGTTATTCGGCTTTACTACATAGCCAGAAACGACTTTTCCAAGCGAATGCGTATGCGTTCTATATGCGAATGGATAGATAGTTTTCTTCTCCATTATAGGACAAGATGATTCCATATGTACTGTTGATCTACGTGGTATGACTCCACTTGTTCCTAACAAAATAACTCCAGCTAGTTTGTCCATTGTTTGTGTTGTATAATGCAGAAATACACCTGAATCATCTGTCCTCCCATCCTTAAAGCGGTCAATATGTGCATAATGTACTTGTAACACAATATATTGTATGGGA